GTCAGAAGAGGTCTGCCATGCCATGTGGGTCACCTCCTTGACTGGGGATAGAACTCGTGCTGCAGATAGCTTCCTAGTGCTGCGTGTTAGCCTGCTGCACCACCAGGGAGGGCCCTGAATTTGTATTTTTATATTCTTCAGATGAAGATATAGAAATGAGATTATTTGATCAAATGGTAGTTCTATTTTTAACTTTTTGAGGAATCTCCTTACTGTTTTCCACAGTGGCTGCACCAATTCGTATTCCCATCAACAATGAACAATATTGTTTTTTTTAATCACACCCTCACCAACATTTAATTCTTGTTTTTTTATTTCAGACATTGTAAACTGTGCGATGAAATTTCACTGTGGTTTGTTTTGCATTTCCCTAATGATACATGGCATAGAACATCTTTTCAGATTATCTGTTGGTCATCAGCATCTCATCTTTGGTGAAAAGTCTATTTAGGTTCCCACTTATTTTTAAATTAGTTGCATGTTTCTTGGTTGTTGAGTTATATGACTTATTTATATATATGGATAGTCATCCCCTGTCTGATACATGGTTTGCAAATATATTCTTCCAGTCACTAGCCAGACTTTTCATTTTAACAATGGTTTCATTTACTATGCAGAGGCTTTTAGTTTGATGTAGTTCCTTGCTGTTGGAAACAAGCCATAAAGATATCATTAAGGCAGATGTTAAAGAGCATATTACCATTTCTCCCATTTTATGGCTTCAAGTCTTTTTTTTTTTTTTTTAAGATTTACTTATGCATACAGAACTGGGGTACAAGCCAGAGGTGCAGGAGCAGTGACAGGATTCACCAGAGGCAGAGTGGGGAGCAGAACAGGCAGATCAACGAAGTACACTGCTGAGGGGAGCAGTGGGCAGGACAGAGGTCTGCTGCACCATGTGGGTCACCTCCCTGGCAGGGAATCAAACTCATGCTAAAGCAGCTGCAGCAAGCTTCCCAATGCTATGCTTTAACCCATTAGGCCACCATGGAGGACCTAATTTCAAGTCTTATATTCAAGTCTTTATTCCATGTTGAGTTGATTTGAGTGAATATGATTTTCTAATAAGGAATGTTCACTGCCATAATGGTCAACTTGAGAAGCTAAAATTTTCCTTCTCTGCCTAATTTAATGGCGTGAACTAAGTGATGCCAATGGGGTCTGCTCTATAATCATTTCTACTGGAAATTTTATAAGCACTTCAAGTATAAATCGGAAGACTATTATTATTTTCATTATTGTTATTATTTCAGCAACTGAAATGCTTATTAGCCATTGACACCGTACAACATTCTTAGCTAAATGCTTTTAATATACTGCCTCATTGAATCTTTCCAGCAATCCTTTACAGTGGATGTTTTTATCTTAACTTTATAGAATTTGTTCTTAGGCTAACTATACCAAACAACAGGAAACAATTGAATAGGAAGTTTAAATGCAGATTGTTTCTGACTTCAAAATCTCTTACCTCTGTGCTTTCCTACTTCATTATTAATTTTTTAAAATAAAATATGTCTGTACTTAACCTAGTTTCTCTGTTAATTTTAAAAATCTACTCTTCAGGGACCTCCTTTGTGGTACAATAGGTTAAAGCACAGCATTGTGAAGCTCGCTGCAGCTGATTCAGAGCGAATTCGATTCCCAGTCAGGGAGCTGATCCACATGGCACAACAGACTTCTCCTGACCCGCCCGCTGCTCCCCTCAGCAGTGTACTTTGTTGATCTTCCTTGTTCTGCTCCCCACTCTGTCTCTGATGAATCCTCTCACCTGGCCTATACCCCAGTTTTGTATGCACAAATAAGTAAATCTTTTTTTAAAAATCTGCTTTTCATGTTTTGTTCCTCTTGCCCTTTTTTATGGAGTCCAGTGATCAGATGAAGCACATTTGAGTAAGGCAAGGCAGGGGTTCAATATAAAATAAACCCCAGCCCCCAAGAGGTTTCAGAGAATCCACTGCTTATAAAGTCTGAGACTGTCTTGTCTCCTAACTTGCAAAAAAGCAGAATTACAAGGAAAGAGTGTCTTTCGTGGGGCCATGTTTTTCATCAGGTCTCCTTTCAGGTCAACTCTTCTTTGCTCTGGAGTGAAATGGAATAAATAAGAATGTCTTCCCAGAAGCAGGGTCACCTCAGACGCTGAAGAATTTCCAGTGGAGAAGGGAATCAAAGGGTCAGGATGAAAATTTTACTGGCTGGCTTGGAACAAACCACATCCTTTATTTTTTAATGTAGTTGGACATTTACACTTGATCCTTGACCTCTTGGTACAACTAGAGGTGACGTGCTGTTTCCTTTCCTGAACAGGAGCGCTTATTGTCATATTTCAATTGTGCCTTTGAGTGGACGTGGTTGGTGATTTCTTGGAGAAATTTGAGACCATAAACATACATTCTTGGAAACTTTTAGAAGTTTTTCTGTTTTTTTTTTTTTTAACATGAAATACAATGTATAGTTTCTTAAAACTGTAACAAAGCCCATATACTGGGCCACTAACAACAGCAGAAATGTTCTCTCAGACACTTTTGGAGACTGGAAGTCCAAAGGGAATCTGTCTTGTGTCTTCTCTTAGCTTCTGTAATGCCACAGTCCTTGGTGTTCTTTGGTTTATAAGTGCAGCACTCCATCAGCACATGGTTCCTCCTTGTATTTCTGTGTCTTCACATGGCTGTGCCCTTGTAAGGACGCCAGTCACGAGTCCCACTGCTCTTAGGGGCCCCTCAGACTGC